GAAGCGTGAAGAACAGTATGTATCTGACCAAATTGCGTCACTGCAGCCATCCATGGTACAACTGAAAAATGGAAATGAGTTGAAAATATATCATCGTCTCAGTATGACCATGATTGACGGAAAAGCTCGAACCATCCTGACGGATACGTCATCGATGGCTACCTGCTATGCCTGTGGAGCAACTCCATCCGCAATGGCTGTGGATCAAGTGTTATTGCGACCAGTAAACGCTTCAACATTTAAATACGGAATTGCAGTTCTTCATGCACGGATTCGCTTTCTGGAGCTAGAGTTGCATGTTTCCTACAAAATGGAGCTTAAAAAATGGATCGTAAACCAGCAATTGTATAAAGAAAGGAAAGAGATGATCCAGAAACGATTAAAGGAAGAACTGGGATTGCTCGTCGATGTTGTCAAGCCAGGAAGCGGAACTACCAATGATGGCAATACGGCTCGCAAATTTTTTGATAATATTTCCATTGTGGCAGATATCACTGGGTTCGACAGAGAAGTTATGGAGCGATTCTCGGTGATTTTACTACTCTAGCCTGTGGTCGCGAAATTGATACCGAGAAGTTCAGAATATTCGCACTGGAGACAGCCCGTTTATTTGAGAAAAAGTATCCTTGGTACTACATGCCATCATCAGTGCACTTTATACTAATTCATGGTGCTGATGTAATGGAGTCGATGGAGCTTCCGATGGGTCTTTACTCGGAAGAAGCGTTAGAAGCTCAGAATAAAAATGTAAGGTCATTTCGAGAGCATCGGACGCGAAAGACCTCTCGCCAAGCCACAATGACGGATCTGTTGCAAAGATTAATTTTAACGGGTAAGAAAATTCTTTTAAAAACAGGAAAAATAAGAAATAACATATCTCTTGGTTTATTACAGGCGATATACTTTTGTCAATGACCAGATCAATGAAATCTAAGTTATCCCAAACATTACCTGATGCTGTGCAAAATTTGTTGAAATTATAATGCATGAATCAAGACTGTTTTAAATTAGCCAAGTTTTTATATAATATTAATATCTATTACTTAATATGTACGTTTACCAAACCATGATTGTGCCCAGCTAACAATAAAGTATTAGCAATACTGAAAAAGCAGTTAGGTTTTGAAAAAATAAAGAAAGCTTAATTTTGTTTTGCGGCAGCAAATCGCCATCAAACTGCAAAAACATATATTTTTCAATAAAAATAAAGAATTACTTCTATTTGAGAATACAGTACGGTGGAATATTTTGAAAATATGTGGCCCTACTTTGAAGCAGTAGAGGTTCAAAGAATATTATATGTGCGAAAAACTATGGAAAAAGGTGTTTTCCATAGAAAACATCGCATATTACGCATTATGTTACCTCTAACTCATGTTTCTGCATGTTTCTGCATGAAATGTCGAATGTTTTGATAAAAACACACCTAAACGATTATTTTGCAATTGATTTCATCGTGGGATTTCGTGGAGAATGGTAGTAAATCATAATTAAGTGGCCAAAAATTATTATTTTTTCGGAAAAATCAATAATAACTGACCTATTATGCAATTTAGTATCCTATAATGTTCAGAAATTTTGTGTGTTTGATGTTTGAAAAATTTTGTAGAACATTTCAAACCAGTAGCAGTTAAATGAAAATTGTTATAGAGCAAAAACTTAAATTAAGGGGGTTTCTATAAAAAACGTTCCATATTTCAATGGGGTAAAGAAATGGACACCTAGTGTCTTCAGCAAAGTTTCTTGTTATGATATTTTCTAAAACTTTGCCGAAGACACCGATCCAAAATATGAAACTTTGACAAAAATAAATTTTCGATCACACTTCTAGGGGGATTAATCATTGTCAATGTCATAAGAAGGGGCTTTTCATATCCAGAAACTTTCCTGAAGACACCACATGTCTAAAATGCATCGTTCGTGAGATAATCACTTTTGACCGGGTTTTTACAGATCTGGACCACTGTGCGTCGCTAGAACTATTCCACAGCCGCAGTCAGTTTATGAGCAAAAGAAGGACGCACATTTTTTTGCCTGTAGACTTGGAGACATACTTCAAGTCTCCGCGTACATCGTACGGGTTAGGCAAAAGATGTGCGTCTAACTTTAAAAACTGTCGCATTAATGGCCCTTCGCTCATTTTCAACTTCTATTCAATTTTCATACTGCCGTACTCTAACGGAACTATCCACCTACTCTCTTCTACAGATCATTCTCTAGCTAATAAATTATCACACTAAAGATTCATGTTAGCATTTCCAACCAACTTTGAAAATCGCTAACTTCGCGTATGAAGTAACATAAAAACACTTTGAATGTAAATATTGCTGTTTTTTTTAAAGATTTGGCCGCGTTTTGTAGGCGCACATGCATCATCTGGCACTAGTCGTTTCTGTAGTGGGAATAAAATGACTTCCATATCTATAACAGATTACAAGTTAAGAGATGTACTAGCCTTTGGCTAAAAATCTCTATAATAAAGATTTAAAAAATAAAAAAAGGTTACACATTCGACAGTGAGCATACATAAGAAAGTAACCGCGATGATCGATTTTCTCTTTTGTTAATAACTCACTTGGATAAACATTTCTCGGTGCGTTTGCTGTTGCTTTTAATAGCCAATACAATCTGTTACAGCACTACATTGAAGAAGAAAAATCAGATAATATTCAAGTTGAACATTGCATTAAGTCCTAAGTAACACGGATCGATTCTCTTCGTCGACTTTCTATTTCGTTAATAACTTGAGCACATAACCGTTACTTGTTATTACTTGCCGCTTACTGGGATTGAACACAGGCCTGATGAGGTTAGAGGTGATCATTAGACTGATGCAAATTTTGACATTTTCGCTCCACAGTGCTCAAACGGTTCCAAATCGGGTTCTGATTAGTCTCCCAAAATTTGAACTCATTTGATAAGAAACTGACTTCGCTCAAACCATTTGAAGTTTATATGGAAATTACTATAGGAAAACCAAATGTTTTGTTCATATCCATCTAACAATTTACCATATCGCTCTGCTTTAAAAAATGATGACTAAGTTTGTAGAAAATTTTCTCAGCTACAACTTTGTCCTGAACCACTTTTCAATATAATGTAAGCATCAAAAGTTATCAATAATTCAAGCCACTAATGTCTTACGATTATGCTCAATTAACTGTTCAGCAGGCAACATTGGTGTTTCTGGCGCTTGAAACATCATGACTACTATGTCACACTGCAAGATACAGTGTTGTTCACAAAACAGCTGCTTGATCATGCCAAAAGATTATCAATCTCTTAAACAATTAATAACTATTTTATTTTACGTTTGGCTCAACAACTATATTCTGCTTTGTTGAAGCTGAGAAAATTTTCCATAAGTTTAGCTTTTGAATTTTTGAACAGTGCCATATGGAAAAAGGTAAGAAGACAATGAACAAAAAGTTTGGATTTCCCATAGTAATTTCCATATAAACTTCAAATGGTTTGTGCCAAGTCAGTTTCTTTTCAAATGAGTTCAAATTTTGGGAGACTAATCAGAACCCGATTTGAAACCGTTTGAGCACTGTGGAGCGAAAATGTCAAAATTTGCATCAGTCTAGTGATCATGCTTACCACTACACCGATCTACCGATAATTGAATGGAGGGATTTTAAAATGTTCTGATCGCGAGATATTCAAGATCAATACCGAAATTTCACATAAATGTCCAACCCGTTTTGTGTGTGTGGTGCTGATTTTCACTTTTGCCCTATGTTTAGAAAACTTTCATAAATAACGTAGTAGTTGGGGGGGGAGAGGTGTTCCAGAAGTTTTGAATGGCCATGTATTAGGTTTAGCAAAACACGCTACGAGGGGGAAGGGTAATTAATCGGTCAAAAAAAAAAAATTCTACGTCATTTATGGATGGTTCCTAATTTTTCTTCCAAGGCTGTATCCCACTGAACGAATTAAATTTATCTCGTGGTTAAAAGTGACAGATGAGTTATCGAATAACCCTGTTATCCGAGCGTAGTTAATTCTGGACTCTACAAGGAAACACCTTAACGAAGGCATGAATCATTGTATTTTAAGAAACGCTTGATATCATTCAATTGAGTGTAACCTACACACAAACGGAGCTCTGGTCGACATTTCGGCCCGACACCAACCTAACTTATACCAAACCTCAACCTGATGTTGATCCGACATAAACCCAAAAATTGATCCAACATTGGGTCGACATCGACCTTAAATTTGTCTTGCTTGCTCTGATCGCATCACTTATCACAGTTAATACTGATCAATTAATAACCAGGTCCACTAACACAACTATCCTTCCCGCGGTAATTGTGGAGGTGCAGAGGTATCCAATATTCTACGATCGCTTATGGCCGCCACAATCTGATTGAGTTTCTGGTAGGGAACATAAGATTTGAAGTTTGGGTTGTGTCGTTTGACGTGTAAGCGATCAAATTTGAACGTTTACACGTCAAACGACACAACCCAAACGTTAAATCATATGTTCCCTACCAAAAACTCAGCCAGATTGTGGCGGCCATAAGCGCTCGTAAAATGCTGGAAACAACAATTATCAAAAATCATCCACCCCTCCCCAAAGACCGTGAGGACGTGGCCAGCATCGGTACTCTCCATTGAAGATGGAAATCTAATCCCAAGATCCATTTTATGTTGTTCTCTGTGCAATTTCATTGGTTTTGATCAGTAGCGGAGTATCAACTTCGACGTGCCAGGTCTTTTTAAAAATTAAAAAAATAAATCAAACAAAATGCGTCAAGCTCAGTTTCGCACGTTTCTATTTTCCTTTACGAAATTCTTGGATGGAATCTTATCTCTTCGGATTCCCATTGATGATTGGGATTTGACGCAACGTAAAGGTACTCGTCATATATATTGACTTATTACTAAGCACCTGATAATGGAGGCTCGTAGTGATCATAGACAATGATTTTCGTCCCATGCTGTTAAATAGAGCTATAAAAACATCAAATTGAACAAACCGACCGATTAGTACTGCTGTTAATTTACGGTCGGGTATACCGACGTTCAGGCTTGTTCAGTTTTGGTTCGGTCGTGTAGGTTTATGCTACCGTTACGTGGATAGTCGAATACTGAGTAAAATAACAGGTAGGGATGTTGTCTGCTATAGGAAGTTGGTTAGGTGGTAAAATACGAATAGCAGTGAAAGCTTAGATCAGTTTTCCGATTTTTGTTCTCAGTCAAAAGTTATATTCTGTGAAGAAACTGTGAAAATGTTTGCCACTGATATGTGGAGAAGAATTTCCAGGCAACAGATAACGTTGGTGAATATAAAAAAACTTGACGTGACCCACGTGATCTTTTTTTCTGAAGTGAGGTGACTGTTGTGTGAAGAGATTTGAAGTGCTTTAATGCAGCGGTTCTAAAACTTGCGGCCCACTTAGAAAAATTCCATAGGCTCGGCACCCATCAATATTGATTACAGATGTTATAAGGCCAAAATTACCATGAAAATCTCCAAAATGGCTTTAATATGCCAAAAAAGCCTTGAAGGCATGCATGCCCAAGTAGCATTTCTTGTTTTATTGCACTCTATTAGTGGTTATTGAGATCAATTTCATAAAACCGCCAATAAAATTAATAGCTCCAGCACAACCTTTTGATAACCGCTATAAGATCGTCATACAGCTTAGTGGACCACTCTTGATAAGGTTTATAAAGCATGTTTGAGAATCACAATAAAGCTGTCTTAAAACCTTTTGTCAGGAAGCCTCATACTCTACAAAAGGTTCTCATAGCCTCTATAAGAGTAATATTGTATCCAAGCAGTTTTATGACGCTTTGGTGAAAATCAGTTATAAAGCCAATTTAATTTGTATTGGCTTCAAAGCAACCGCCATAAATTAGCTTGTTGTTGTTCTGTTCTGCTGAAACCAAATGGAAATCTTTAGCGGTTAAAATAGGTTTGAGTGTTGGTGTCAAGATCACCATGCAATCAATTTTGTTTCATGGCGACATTAGTGAAAATCTTAAAGAAAATATATTACTTTTTAGAAGTTCCAAAACATATGCGCTTGAAATGTTATCGTGTATATTGAGATAATATGAGCGTTAAATAAATGCGCCTCCAAAATAATTCAAGTTAACAAAAAAGATTGTTTCAGAAATTAAATGAACTTGATGGAATCACCTTAATTTTACAGAAAATAGATTTCAATAAATAAATTCATACCAATGCACACTGGAAATCTTTTCGGATCTCTTATTTAGCCATTATTTTATTGAAATTTCTTGGATTTTATTCCAAGGCTAATGGCATTTTCATAATGACAATATGGTGACAGAAGACAGCAGGCAAGAAAAACACCAAGCGCAATTTCTTAAAATGTCTAATGCTTACATTGCACACTGGGTCAGGAATGCAACCTAGCGGAGCAAAATTAATAAACGAAGCATTTCCGCGACTTGGTGTCTTCGGCAAAATTTCTCATCATAATAAGGACCATCTATTGACATAAACAAATAGTTCAAAACTCTTCCGCAAAGATGGTGTCACAATCTAACTTCTTTCTCTGACGTTTTGGAAACTTGATGTCTTGGGCAAAGTTGTTTATCTTGACAAAATGAACAGGTCTTTCAAAGACGTAAAATTTCCACAGTCTACTGGTTCCAAGTTATATGGAGTTAAAGAAAAAAATCTTGAAAATATGGTTTTTTTCTGTTTCGGTTTTTTTGCTTACAGCTTTATAGTGTTATATTTTTCTCTTATGAAAATACATTAAATAAATAGCTTTTGTGAAGAAACATACTGGATTAAGCTTCAAATTTCAAAGACATTGTTGAAAAAACGAGAAAAAAAAACACAATTTTTAAAAATCCGAGAGAATAGATCGCCATTCTCGTGTAGTGTCACTCGCAGAAACAGATCACAATCAACCACACGACGCTGATACTACCAGTGGTAATACACTGAATTACACTCGGATTAGCGAATGGATAATATTTCTCTGATTGAGCAGAAAGGTGTTTTTGCACATGTGGTGTTTTTGTATAGACTGGTATTTTTCAAAGCGAAAAAATCAACCACTTCAGCCAATAGTTTTCGCAATAGGTTCGATCACTCCATTATATTTTTGCAACGATTTTTTCGGAAGAGTGTGCCCCACCGCATAAGTTCGTTTCAGGAATGCGGCAAAAGTTTCCAAACTTAAAGGCACTACAAATCTTTAAATACAGCATCATGGTGTGAAGGACACAAAAAAATCACATGTTTGTGCCCAGTTATTGTCAGAACTTGGCGAACAATGTAATCCACTCAAAAACAATGTTTTTCCAGAATAGATTACTATACATGGGTTGTGGATACGACTCGAACATTTGCCACGCTGACTCGAACTTTTGCCCCACTATAGACAATTCCAGCTTCCTGATGACATATCAGCAGTCTGATACTCCTAAAATCGTCTTCAAGAAATTCTTCGAAAACATCACCAATTTAAGTATTCTTTTTCACATTTTCCAATCAAGTGCCAAACGATAAGTTTTATATTGCACAAGCGTCGAAAACCTCAAAACGAACTTTTCCCTTACGTTACGCTAACACTTGTCATTCATCCTGAACAATACTAATCACTATTCAGTGTCATAATTATATAACTGTATAGTAACTCAGCCGGTTTCTATCTTGCCTCGAAAGATATTATCAATTAATGGTCTATGTAAACACTGTAAAGCAATCCTCACATTATGAACGGCTGTCATTCAAGTTCATTATCGTCAACGGTATTGATAAAAATGAGGCGCGTACTATTGCCACCAATCAATCATGAGCAGAAATTAGTTATCAATTCGTTCGAATACTTCACAATTGGCAATGCAGGACTGAATAAGTCATTCACTTCACTATCTGAGTAGAACGTGGTCTTCCCGTGGTTCCACTACAGCAATTCCACTATTTTCAGGATGAAGGGTACTGTGCTGTACCTGTTGGCAACCTGCGTTTGCTGTGCTCTTGCGAGTCCGATAGATCTGCTTAAGCCAGCAGCTGCCGCTGACGAGATTATCCCTCGTGCCGAACTAGAGGAATACCGTCTTAATGCTGACGTGCAACCTTCGCACTATGATATCGAGCTAACACCGTACTTCGAAGATGAAGGCACCCACACGGCCTTCACATTCGATGGAATCTCCATGATGACGTTCAAGGTAACCAGGGCCGGTGTTACCAGCATTGTACTGCACAAATTGAAGATCGATATCACATCGTGGTCCCTGAAGCTTGCAAGTAATAGCGCAGATGTACCCCATGGTGAAGCTACGTACGATGAGGAGACTCACAAACTCAGCATTCCGGTCACTCAGCCCCTGGCACAAAATACGGACTATGTACTGATTTTCAACTATGTCGGTATTTTGGATGACGACATGCATGGATTCTACAGGAGCTACTATAATGTCAATGGAAAGAAAGTTTGGATGGCATCTACTCAGTTTCAACAGACTCACGCCCGACGTGCGTTTCCATGCCTAGACGAACCAGGTTTCAGGTCAACGTTCCAGGTTGTGATCAATCGCCCTGCGAACTACAAAGCGTTTTCCAACACTCCAGTTATTAGGAATACTACCTTGAGGTATGATGTGGTTACATAAGGGTTTTTGTTGGGATGATATATTGAATTTGTTTACTTTTTTCAGTAACGGTCGCATTCAGGACCAGTTTGCGCGGACTCCTGCCATGGCAACGTATTTGCTGGCGTTCATTGTAGCTGATTATGTAGTTAATGAGAAGGATCAAATGGGTATTCTGGCTCGTCCGGAAGCTCTGAACCAGACTGACTACAGCCTGAAGGCAGGAATTGATATTCTGGCAGCACTGGAACAATGGATTGATTACCCGTATTCGGACGTCCCTGAGATGACGCGAATGTATATGTCAGCCATTCCTGACTTCTCTGCAGGTGCCATGGAAAACTGGGGACTGTTGACTTATCGTGAATCAAACATCCTGTATAGAAGTGATGACTCCACTAGCATGCAACAACAGCGTATCGCTGCAGTAATTGCTCATGAAATCGCTCACCAGTGGTATGGAGATCTTGTGACATGTGAATGGTGGGATGTAACATGGCTCAACGAAGGCTTCGCACGGTATTTCCAATATTTCGGTACAGCTCAGGTGGAGCAACACTGGGACTTGGAGCATCAATTTGTCGTTGAACAGCTGCAAGGTGTTATGCAGATGGATAGCTTGGAAAGTACGCACCCCATGACGCACAATGTTTACACGCCATCTCAGGTCAGCGGTATGTTCGATAGTATTTCGTACAACAAAGGTGCAGTTACGCTGCGAATGGTTGAACACATTCTGACTACCGAGAAGTTTATAAACGCCAACCGACAGTATATCAAGGAACGGGTGTTCAAATCTACTAGGCCGGAGAATCTGTTTGAGGCGTACAATAATCATGGAGATCCTGCGATCGGAGCATTTATGGAACCATGGACCGTTCAATCTGGATACCCACTGGTAACCGTGATTGGAAACAACGATGGCTACTCTATTTCACAGCAAAGATTCCTGATTAACAATATGACCCATGATGACAAGACTTTGTGGCCACTTCCGATCACATATGCTACCAAGGAAGCTGACTTTGCGAATACCAAACCGACGATAGTAAATACTGCTACATACAAAATCACTATCACGAAGCCAGAGGAGTTGCCATATTTCATTCTTAATAATCAGCAAGTGGGATACTACCGAGTCAACTATGATGCAGACAATTGGGCCAAAATCAGTGCCGCTCTTCGCATGGAGAACTTTGGAGGAATCCATGTGCTTAACAGAGCTCAAATTGTGGATGACTTGCTCAATTTTGCACGGGCCGGCATTGTAAAGTACGATACGGCTCTGGAGATTCTGGATTATCTTCAGGATGAAACCGAATATGCACCATGGTTGGCAGCTGTTAATGGATTGACTCTCCTGTCGCGAAGGATTCACCCTGAAGATGATGAGAAGTTTGCCGTAAGTATTTATCAATACCAATGTCAAGGATGTTTAAATTGCAACTAGCTCCATTCCCACAGAGATACATTGTCCATCTGTTTAGCAAGGCATACGGCATGGTCAAGTTTGAAGCGCCATCCGCCGAAGAAAAGCGAGTTTTCACCTATCTCCGTATCAACGTCCTCCAGTGGGCTTGCAACTACGGTCACGCGGAATGCAAGAAGGCTGCCGTCGAAGAATTCGTCCGCTTCTATGAGAATCCTGCCCAGAAGTGAGTGGTCTGATTCTGATTATAAGATGATCAAGAGGATAGTCATCATTTTACTAAACTATTTCATTCTCAGGGTTCATCCCGATCTCCGTCAGGTAGTCTACTGCGAGGGAATCCGCCAGGGAACAGACGAGCATTTTAACTTCCTTTGGAATCAATTCCTAACCTCTAATATGGCAACCGAACAGATACTAATTCTGCAAGGTCTCGGATGTGCTCAGGATAGGGAGCAAATTTTCGTAAGTTAATCTTAATGATCTAATCATAGACGAAGGATTCCAAACAACATCCACCTAATTTCTTGCAGACATTAATGGACGCAATCACTTCCGATGACATCCGACCACAGGACAAAGGCACTGCTTTTTCATATCTGTTGGCAAACTACTACACCCTGGACCATATGGCCGAATACCTGCGTACTTACTACGTTCGATGGGCAAACGCGTAAGTTTCCAGCACATTTGTTAAAATCATACACTCATTTATTGACTTCATCTCCCGTTAACTCTTAGTCACGGTTCCTACCTGAATGTGGCATCTGCGTTCAACAATCTGCTCGCGCGGATGAAGACCGATGAACAGATGTGGCGGATACGGTCGTTTGCTGCCCGAAATGAGGAAGTTTTCGGAGAAGCTGCATTCAATTCTATCGAACGTGGTGTAGCGGATTATTTCACGAACAAAGAATTCACCGAGAAGCATCGCGCTGTAATTGGTAACTTCCTGGACAAGGAGCTGAAAGATAACTCAAGTGCCGGAAAGACGACCGTCAGTATGGTCGCTTTGGTTGCCGTCGTGATGGCTTTGCTATTTTAGGTTAACTTTTCGGTGACTACATAGTAGTGTTCATATTAGTTCCATCCAAAATGTGCCATCCATTGTACATAATTTAGACAAATAAAGTGTCTTAAACTGGTGATACAAAAAAGTCATAAATTCGTGTTTGAAGGAGTTGGCAGGATTGCAGAATGTTTTTTTTTTATATATTTTAATTTAAATTTCATTCATCTATTTTAAACGTGGATTTTCCTATGTTTCGAGGGGTGCATCAATAAGCTTGGGACCGAAGAGAGTACCAGTTACCTCTATGGTTTTACCATAGAGGTAAATCTAAGACCAGCAGGTCCCGAAGAAACGTGCTCAACTTTTTGACTCAACTCAACATAGGAAAATCCACTAACTCCTCATTTTATCTGTCAAACTTTCATAGCGAATCAAAACAAACATTGTGTAGTACTGAAATTTTGACTAAAATGGGGTACGTTAATCGATTTGCTTGGGACCAATAGGCTAGTCAAGTAGTGAGCGAATTTAAAATCGTTAGTTTCGTATTGATTGTTGGTACTACCAACTAAGAATCATTTACATTGACCGTGAAATGCATGTTTGATGAACAACGAAGAGCATGGAAATCGGAAGTGGTTATCACAATTGGGGGACCTTTTCCTTCTTGACATTAAGTCGGGAATGGAATTTTGCCTGGATGATGGATGATTCTCATCACCCGTGAGCATATTTCTCAAATAAATTTCATTAGAACGGGGATCAAGATATTGCTTTTTTCCTTTGCGCTTAAGCGCCATGGCGGCAGAAGAAACATTCTCCAAATCGCTTTCCAATCAGATTACTGTAAGGAAGAATCCGAAAGTACGAAGGGGAATTTTTCAAATTGATATCCTGTCAGGATTACCTCGGGATCGAAGGATCGAAGAGGAATAAGAATCGAACAAGGTTGATCATTTGTAGGTATTATTTAGCACTACTTTTTAAATATGTTGTTGCTTCAGGTAGCAGTTACACTTCCTTCAGCAAAAAGCGAATAGATCCACACGGCAAGAGAGCGCGATGCGGACTTGGAATTCCCATGTGATTACAGGTGTCGCATGATGAGTTTTGGTCTATGTCAGAAATTGCCCACTACTCCGGAGTTCCTGGAACATGTCCGGGAGTAGCCAGCGGGTTCCTGAGTACTCAAAGTGGCCACCGTTGATGTTGTTGTTGAATTCTTATGGGGTGAAGCATGCTGGGTATATTACGTTTCAAGTCACTTCTAGGCTTAAGGCCCGTATGTAGCCGAACATGTTTCGACCGTATTTTCGACCATGTTGTTGCGTCCAATTTGGTCAAGTATTTACCGAGAAACACGCCTCTCAAAATGTTGTAACACACCTACACATACATATACGGCTTTGTGGACAACGCCCACAGCAGCGGGAAGAAATCACTGTCGGGGAGCATGCTATAGCCTCGAAGCGCGTTCTTAAATTCCTGTGAGTGATGATCGACGACCGCCTAAACTTCAACAGCTATGTCGACTATGTCTGCGAGAAGGCGGTGGAAGCCATCATCGTGGTAGCTACAATCATGCCGAAAAACTCTGGACCAAGCAGTGAGTTGTCGGTACCGAGGTATGAAAAAAAAAACAACTTTGGTTGTAGCGCTGGAAACCAAACGGGATCAAGTGAAGTTGAACAAAACGTTCCGGCTCGTAAGCGCGTACAGAACAACCTCGTCCAAAGCAGTACGTGTTATCGCTGGAATGAATCCTATCAGCATCACCTTGATGGAGGACAGCCAGTGCTAGAAGCGAAAAGAAACCAGAGGAATACGTAAAAGGCCAATTTTCAGCAGGGATGGGACATGGCGGAGAACGGTACATGGACCAACACTACTACGAAGCAGTGATGCAATACTTATCTCAATATAAACCTAGAATAATAGGTCAATGTTTGTTATACAGTTCCAAAAAGTATGATATTATTGAAAATGCTTGCGTCAAATGATGAATAAAATGTCAAACATAGACAATCTTCAAAAGCTAGGTACAAATTTCATCTGAAGTTCAAATTAAGAAACTTATACGCAACAATCAACATTACATTTTGACAACAAGGCTGACTGAAAAAATTAGAATTGATTAAGAGAAACATCTCTGCATGGGTTAAGTAAATGGAATGGCGGATGTCCTCAGCGCCTAGAAAACGGTTAGTATTCAGGATGACATAGTTTTAAGCTTCAAAATTATAGTGATTAACGTGTGATCAGTCAACATTGAAAAAAATAGCCTGATAGGCAATGTTTACGTCCCCATCATGTGAACTTTATAATAATGGGCAAAACGCAGGAGTTTTAGACTCATTTTTTTCAACAGATTAAAACAGTCACCCCCTGACTAACCATCCCGGATTTTTCAAAGTTGGTGTTAGATGCTGCATCTGCTACCATACCAAAGACCAGTAGCCTACCTGGACGAAAAGCCCTCCGTTGGTGGAGCGAGGATACCAAAAAAGCCGTTAAAGCCCGCCGGAAAGCTCTACGGAAACTCAGGCGAACCCCGAGAGTTGACCCAAACAGGGAAGAGCTATTAACCCAGTACCGTGCACTACATATTCAATGTAGAAAAGAAGTGAGAAGTGCGAAGCTAAACAGTTGGTCTGGTTTCCTTGAAAGCATCAACGCCTCCCAGTCCTCTGCCGATCTCTGGAGCAGGGTTAATGCTCTCAGCGGTAAACGGCACTCGACGCCATTACATGTACAAGCTAACGGAGTTACCATCTCCGAACCGGCAGCCGTCGCCGAAGAACTCGGAGGGTATTTCGCAGAAATTTCGGCCATCATTACGATAGCCACTTTCAGCGGTTGACAAAGCCTACCCATACATCAGTCGCTGAGTTCAGCATCCCGCCTGACACGGACAACCTCGAGATCAACGAACCTTTCTCCTGGGAGGAACTCCAGCACGCACAAAGCCGCAGCAACAGCAAATCTGCGGGACCTGACGATCTCGGGTATCCACTTTTAAAAAAGCTGCCCCTTGAGGGCAAGTGTTGCATACTTGAGATGCTCAACCAACTCTGGGTCTCTGATACCTACCCGACGCTGTGGAAGGAGAGTCTCACATTCTGCATAGCCAAGGTATTCGAACGGATGGTGAACCGTCGACTCAAAATGTTCTTTGAGACCAACACCTTGCTCGACCACCGACAACATGCCTTTCGACAAGGTTTCGGTACGTCCACGTACTTTGCCACTCTGGCAGACGTCCTCAAGGAAGCTTACGACCAGGAACACCACGTTGAAATCATCTCTTTGGACATCTCCAAGGTTTTCAACCGGACGTGAACGCCAGCCGTCCTCAACAAACTTACAAACTGGGGCTTGAAGGGGCATATGATGTATTTCATACGAAACCTCCTGACCGACCGGGTGGGGAACACGCGGTCGAAAAGTTTCAGCGAGGAGACCGGAGTCCCTCAAGGCTCCGTTATCGCAGTCACGTTGTTTCTGGTGGCAATGAACGGGGTATTTAACCGGCTACCTGGGCGCATTTACATATTTGTTTACGCTGACGATGTGCTGATTATGGCCACCGGTCCTACACAGATCCGAGCCCTACGGCAAGCGCAAGCGGCAGTCTCTGCCGTCGGCAAATGGACCGACTCGATGGGTTTCCAGCTGTCCGCCAGGAAGAGCATCCGATGCCACGTATGTTCGTCTCAACACCGAGTGAATAGCACCCCAATTACGATCGACGACCAAGCCATTCCAAACAGGAAAACAGTTCGCGGTTGCTTTACGGAACGGAAATTACTTGCATCGGTTCCGAGAAGCTGGTTAGAACCCTAGCACTAGTCTACAACAGCTACATCCGCATCATAGCTGGTCTCCTGCCATCCACTCCAGCAGACGGCGCATGCATCGATGCCGGTCTTCTTCCTTTCCGGTTCTGCTTAAACGCAAATATTGCCACAAAAGCCGCTACCTTTTCCACCAAGACCTCCGGAAACAATAGGATCTTTCACCTCGACGAGGGGTCGGCCGCCGACATCGACCTCCCCCTAGTGGCCAAAGTCCATTGGCATGGAGAGTAAAGTTGGCACTCTTCACGAATCCAATTGGACAATCGGATCAAGAACCGCTTCAAAGCAGGGGATGCATCCACGATTTTGCGCAGATCGCTCGCCAGTTACTTGGGTCCAACTATGCCGACCACGTACATCGGTACACCGACGGCTCCCGATCGATAAACGGAGTAGGTATCGGGATTTTTGGAGACGGTATTGCTGAAAGCAGCAGTCTTCCTCCACAATGCTCGGTTTTCTCGGCGGAGGCTGCAGCAATCTTCCGTGCCGCTACCACGCCTGTAGACCTTCCAACCCGGGATGTCCCGGGATGAAAATCCCGGGATTGTTACATTTCCCGGGATTTCCGAATCCCGGGAAATTAATTTAAAAATCCCGGGATCGCGTGTACCCCAGGATTTTTTAATTTGAGACTCTTTTACCACTTTAAACCTTTCTTGGAATATCTGTAGCAGAATTTGAATCCAGAATTTTTACATCTTATGAAATATATCTCTTCCCGTAGTTTGCCATTCATTCTGATTTTTCGAAAGAATTGCACACAGACATCACGTTTTGTATATGATCGTTGTACAAGAAGCACTCGTGAAAAATAGATCTAGCAGTGAAACAAATCGTCAACATTTTGATTCAATCAGGTTGAACGTCGTGAGATGTCCATCATTCATAGTTGAACTAAAACCATTGAAATGCATTGTTAAGATGATTGGAAGTACGTAGTGCTGGTCTCAACTGATGAAAAGACTCAGTATTTGCAGTTTTTAGAGTCCTTCCTTAGATTAGCTAGCGGAATCTTGTCGTTACGTTGAAAGGTATGCATTACCTTTACCCGTTAGTATGTAATCTATGTAATCCTAAAGCACGGCAAAATAGTTTTTACAAATACATTCATGAGAGAAATCATCCACCATAATCATCATGATCTGCACAGACTATTGTGCAGTTTGGCTGACAGACATAATATCACGTCCCATTAGGGAACTTCTTAGATGTCAAGAGACATTCATTTGATTTTAGAAAACTTAATAGAAGCTCGTGGAACTTCGTAAAATTTCAGGGAACATCATAGATCTTCAGGATACTTCGTAGAATGTTAAACAACTTCGTGGACGATGATTACGGAACATCGCATGAATTATTTGAAATTCGTACAAGTTCAGCAAGCTGAGCAGAAATTCAGTTGTACCCATCGAAAAATTAAAAGATGTAAGCTATGGAAAAATCTCTGAAGTACTGGGAACTTCGAAGAAGTTGACTAAAAATCCCAGGATTTCGTAGAATATTCTACATATTAAGGGAACTTTATATAGGCTTTGAGTTCATGGAAGTGAGTTTAAGTTCAAGAAACTTCTTAAAAGTACACGAATGAAGACTACGGATTTGTGATGATATCTCTGGATATTATTCAAGACTTTCCAACTTAATCAAGTAATGTTCTGAATATTTGCTAGTGTTCAAAAATTCAAAAGACGTCTTCTTGACATCCTTCTCAGGTGGAAGTTCGATGAGAGAGTATTTAAAGGATGTATAGCTGGTGGAGATTTAAAGACCTCTGGATATTTTTAAAGACTTCAGGTCGATAAATTATTATTCTTAAGATAATTCAACTGTTCGTGAAATTCAAATAACGTCTCTAGATAGTCTCTCAAGATTACTGGTTGGTCAGATATTAGTAATTTCAGGTTGATCAAGAAATCTGAAGATCTTAAACTGGTCAAACATTCAATTGACTCTCTCAAGATGGCAGATCGGTTAGGAAGTACTTAAAATATCTCCAGCTGATCGAAGATTTCAATAAAGTCATCTGGATATTTTTCAATGCTTCAGGTTGATCAAGTATTATTGTGAAGATATTCTCCCAAAACTGAACGATGATCAGGAAGTATTCAAAAGATCTCCAGCTAATCGAATATTTCCGTGAAAGTCCTGTGAATATTCAATTAGATCAAGTTTTATTTTGAAACATCCGATTTTGGTTACATTATTCATATTCAACATATTCAGGCAGAAGCTTAAAATATGAAATCAAAAACTTCATTTATTTAACAAAAATCTTCATATGCCAGCTTAAAATTAAAAAAAAAAACCATCGGAAGTCTGCTTCAGCTTCCGCATGTCTTGAAACAACTTTACATATCATGAAACGTCTTCAAAATGTATGCATATCTGCCTTCACAGAATTTTAAATGTCTTCATAATGAAGATATGTCGTTAAATCTGGTGTCCCTAGTATTACAGAAATCTCCTTTTTTAATCATTCTTCTAAGGAGATGAAACATACATTTCAGAACATCGTTAAAAGAAATTAGATACATACGAACATTAAAAAAATTTACTGCCTTTATTGACTTCCCGGGATCCCGGGATTTCCCGGGATATCAAATAAATATTTCCCGAATCCCGGGATGGTGAAAACCACCGGGAAATGGAAACTCTACACGCCTGCCAACAAACCGATACTTATATTAACTGACTCACACAGCGTCGTTCAAGCGATCACCTCGGAAGCACCAAAACACCCATGGATCCAGGCGATTATCAAGTACGCCCCACCGACCACCGTGTACACATGGATTCCCGGACACTGCGGAGTGCCAGGTAACGCATCTGCTGATAACCTTACCGAAGCCGGGACATCGGGTCCCAGACTCACCAACAAGGTACCCCTAAAGGACATCAGGCGGTGGATCATGCGGACCATTCGAACGGCATGGGAAGCCGAGTGGTTCCGCAACAGAACTGCCTTCATCCGCAAAGTCAAAGGGTCAACTGAACCATGGAGCGAACTGGACAACCTGAGGGATCAACGCGTGATTTCGCGGCTTCGAACCGGGCACACCAAACTCTACTATAACTATGGTAGCCTGCCGTTCCGCAGAAGCTGCATCATCTGTAGGGTACCCTACACCGTCGAACACATCCTGTGCAACTGCCCGGAGTTCCAAAATCTTCGGCAGTCACTCTGCCTAACTTCCAGCATCAGCGATCTGCTCGGGAATGATGCTTCGGCCTCGGCAGCACTAATAACCTTCTTAAAAGATGTCAAAATCTACCACTTGGTATAGCAGGAATTTCTTTCGGCCGTCGGGACATCTCAGCTGGAAGGATTTCCTCTATTGGACCCATGCCAGCTGAGTTCTGTTTTGTTTGAATTTATCGTTTGTAGCTTATCTTAAATCATTTTGTTTTCTGTTGTTCCTCTGTTTCATTAATTTATATATTGTTTAATGAGAGAGAGAAGGATTAGTATTTTCCATTTAATTCCACTACTTAATTTGCTTATCCTTGACAGATACGCGTATTTCGTCTACAATGTGCAGACTTCTTCAGTGTCTTGTACTAATACTCGACTATTAGTACAAGTATTAGTACAAGACACTGAAGAAGTCTGCACATTGTAGACGAAATACGCGTATCTGTCAAGGATAAGCAAATAAAGTAGTGGAATTAAATGGAAAATACTAATCCTTCTCTCTCTCATTATACAGGTATTCCACTAAGACGCCCACATTCATCAGGATTTATATATTGTTATTTCTCCAAATAAGTTGAAGAGCCAGCAACCAAAGTTATTTACAAAATGTTAATATACCATGTATTTAGAGGTTACTCACTCTGAGCCCTCTCCTTTCTCCGAGGATGAACTAGCCATAGGCTAAACATCTCCTTAATAAAGAACTAAAAAAAAAAAGGTCGCCCCCTGATTAAGCCGTTCGCTACCCTATTCCAAAATTGCAAATTTTTTTTTTATGTTTTGAGCATAATTTAATAAAGAACAATGTTTACGTGGCTAAATTAACATATATCCAAATAACAAAATGACAAGCGATCAACGAGCTGAATGATAACGCTATGTCAGCAGTGGAATGCAATAGTGAATAAACTTCTTCCCTTGTTTTCGTGACAAACAAAGACCGCCAATATAGCTATATATATATATTCTGGCATAATCGCCCATTCCCAGCCTATCGAGCACAAAACATCAAATATATCAATGATTTCGTCGTGAAGGTGTCAAACAAACGTTTGGTACATACGAAGCTTCTATTCAATAGCTGCAAGACGAAGTGTTGAAGAACGCAAAATAAGATCTCGAAAACAAAAGGCGCACGCAAAATCACTTTTCTTTCCGTTCGATAGGCCAAAGAGAATCCCAATGGCGTTTCAATGGCTAATAGGCCCAAGAAATCCCGTAAGCCAAGTTGAGTCGCCGGAAGCAGTTTTGCATTTTCAACAATAAACGAATATTTCGCGACCTCTTATCAAAACTAAAGGTACAAATGGAAAGGTAAATAAATTTGGAAGCCATCTGTAATTATTACATTCCGTTTGGTGCTAAACTACGTTAGATTAAGAAATACTAAGTGCGGGTTGTGCTCAATAGGCCGGGAATGGGGTAGTTAACCCTACCATGATTTCAATATACTATGATGCAAAAAAATCCACCACGATTCTAAAAAAATATCACTATGCTTGCTCAAACGACGTAATTTTGGCTGAAAAAATGTTTGTAGAAATGAATGAGATGGGTTTATGCACAAATCTAGTGATGGGATGTTCAATTTAAACCTTCAAAATAATGTTTTTTACACGGGATGAGCCCTCTAGTACAATTATGGGCGACTGTTACCATAAAACGAAAAAAAAATGTTCCAGTCAAACAAAGCAGCGCATTATGACAGACATCAGTTAAATCTATTGTCTAACTGCCAAATTTATGTCAACGCAACGCAAACGGATCTAATGTGGGTAGCTCTTTAGAAAGTCTTTCTATTCTGTTTTCCCAATAATATACCATCATACGTTGTCAAATTAAAATATCCACTGTTTTTATTAAAGCCACTTAAGTACAATTTACAATTTATGGTAAAAAATATCCAGACTAACTAAAACTTACGAAAGTTCTCATTGGTATTCGAGTATCAATTAAGGATTAAAAAAGGTTTGTTTGTTTTTTTTTATGTCTGAGATTGAGATTCTATTTAAAACCAATATCGATAAGTGGTAATTGAAATGTGGTAGATTTGGTTCAATTATTTTCGTGGTAAGCTCCACAACGACATGTCCACTAATACACAGTCTTCGTTTCCACATAATCTAACGATGATCCTAACCGTTCTGTTTCATCATAATTTACGCATATATTTAAGACATAGCATTATATTTGGCACCCATTAGCTACTACAGCTGATTTACCAGCTAGAGCATGATGTTCTTCCTCGTTCAACATGAACAAAAAATAACTACTGATTAAGAAAACAAACACTCGCCTTACATATCATCTTCGGGATCGTACTGAACTTCGCTCAACCACTCAATGATGGTATCGGCATTCATGTCCATCCATACGATGTTTGCCTGGGCCCGTTCAATGGCTTGCTGAATGGTTCGTCCCGTATCCTTCACGTGAGTTTGGGCAAACTCCTTCAGCTGAAAAGTGTTCAGTAGATGTAATGTGATTATATTGTTTGTAAAGAAGTGATCGTATTACCTCATCAAGTTCATATCTTGTGTTTATGCGTTTCGTTGAGTACATCAGGATCATATTCAAATTGGACATCGATGTTCCCAGGCTGTAACAAGAGCATTTTTTTTCTATCAATTTAAAAAGATGGCGATATTTTGAAATACTTACTAATCTTTCATCTTTTTCCAATTGTTACGAATGTAGCTGAACGCAATCGGTTGGCCAATTACGTTGTTTGACACCGCTAGGAAAACTCGGAATACGTCCTGCTTGCGAATACCGAACTCATCCGTCATTGAATACTCGAGAAAGCGCGTAAGGATCCATGTTTCCCTCGAGCATCCCAAGGCGGACAGCAGTGTTTCCTTTTCGCTGGGAATCGTCGTCTTCTGGAACCGTTTCCAAGCGTATTCCCATTCGGCCTGGTCACCATACTTGATTGCCGTGCAGTAGACGATGTTTTTCAAATTGGGAGATACTCTGGAATTAGTTGTATTTGTTGAATTAACGCATTAACGGTGCAGACAAGATTCGGTTTATACTAACGGATTATTGATGTCTGGATTGGGCTGATGCATCCACTCGTAAAACTTTTGGACACATTTGCTGACACAGTCCTTGTAACCCAGATGGCAGGCAGCAGTAAGCACATCAACTCGTTTGTAGATCGTCAGTAATTGACTGTCTTTTGGATCTTCAAATCCAACTTTTTCGTAAATTGGTTTCAGCAAATGCAGTGAATATTTCTGAAAGATGATCGAATGCATTGTTTTAATCAGAGTCAAATCAAGCTGAGATATTTACCTTAAATTTGTCATAGTTGCTGGTTTTGATGAGCATTGAGTCGATGAAGTTCAGCGATCCAATGGCGGCCTTCCAAGGAACATATTCGGTTTCGTGGACCAAATAGCGAGTAACGTTCAACGCCACGCTATAGTCAAGATATCCTCCCCGGGCCAAATTGAGAGCATCGTCGATCAACTGTGCTCGATTGGATGGTGCAATGGTGGTGTGCTTTCGTTTGTCCAGCAGATGGTCAACAATCATACCCCAGTTGCGTTGGTCGTAGTTGACCCGGTAGTAGCCTGATGTGGTTAAAAATATTCAAGAACAAAGCAAATATGGATAAAAATTAGCTTAATAGGTACACGGTGCAAATTAAATCTGAAAATTGCTAAGTTGTAGTAGCCTTCACGTATGTGTTGGTAGAGGGAAAAAGGTAACATTGCGGGAGCGGATGATCACGACGTCATAGCACTCGAAAGCAAATTTGTGAAATATGAAGTACAGCAATTTCTAGATGTACAAACGAAAATTGTTGGGTATGGAATAATAATAATAATTAACATGATAACAATACATATTGAATGCATTAAAACTAGAAAGCTGAGTCGGGTAACGCCATACTCAATTTTAGTAGAATTAAGTTAGCGTGGAGCATTAATACGATGATTTAAATAAACGCACACACAAACGCACGCGTGAACGAGCCGAGGCTTATGTGTTTCGGCTTCTGCATAATTGAACTAGTCATTTGACCAATCTTGTTGCGCACGTATGTGCATTTGCTTTCCGGAGGGTCTTTGTTGCGACAAATGGCCGAGACTGGCAACCTCGGTCAGTTCACGACAAAAGCCAGCCGTCAACTAGGATTTATTTAAAAAATCGTGAAAGACTTTAATGATCCAAATTGCTTGCGTGCTCTTTATTGCTCTCTAGTTAGATCAATACTAGAATTTGCATCGGTTGTTTGGTCACCATATGAAGCTGTGGACGTAAATTTGTCCGGGATGCACGACGAAGTCTACATTTGCGTGACCCAGTAAACCTACCGCCTTATAAGCAACGCCAAAATGAGTACTGAGTATCGAACCGCTGGCAAATCGTCGTAAGATGGATCAAGCTGTATTTGGAGCTAAGATACTTCGCGCAGAGATTGATAGTTCAGCCTTACTGGATCGTCTGAGGATTTATATCCCAAAGCAAGTGTTGCGGTAACGACAACTAATCCAACCAACTCCAATGAACCCGTGAACTCTATAGGCAGACGGTTTCAAGAAGGGTATCATGTTTTCGATTTTAATATGTCTTTACACACTTTTAAACAACGTTTAAGATCTCTGCATATAATTAATTGAACTAGGATTAAGAATGTTTCATTAAGACCACGATGTCAGATGATAAATAACAGCAATAAATAAATAAATAAACATGTTTAACGAAAATTGTTAATTTCTTGTTTAAAGTGGTTAAATTGGTAAAAAGACCAACCAAAACCTGTATTCATAATACTGCGAGGCAAAATGCGCTTACTGATTTCATGCAAAGGAAGCATACATTTAGGCTTTATCTCGGTTCTTCAGGGCCGTTGAATCTGACTAAAATGTATGTTTCGGTTAACTCAAATTCGTATAAACCTGACTAATGCTAACTTTAAAGGGTGATACGGTCAAAATTTGGTCAATATCAACTTGACGTATTTCTTTCAATTTTGCATTTAAAAAACCTGAACACCCCTCATTTTGAAGGTGTGTGTGTGTAGAATGTTGCTCCTATTTTGATTTTGGAATTCACTCTTCAGTTGTCAAAATGCCGTCCAAGCAAGAAGAGCAGCGTATCAAAATTTTGCTCGCGCATCGCGAAAATCCGAGCTACTCGCACGCAAAGTTGGCAAAATCGCTAAAAGTTGCCAAATCAACCGTTACAAATGTAATTAAAGTGTTTGGGGAACGTTTGTCGACAGCCAGGAAGTCTGGATCGGGGGGAAATCGAAAACCGGAAGCCGCTGACACGACAAAGAGAGTTGCCGGTAGTTTCAAGTGAAACCCTAACCTCTCTCTCCGAGATGCCGCAAATAAGCTGGGTGTATCGTCTACAACCGTGCATCGAGCCAAAAAACGAGCCGGACTATCGACTTACAAGAAGGTAGTGACTCCAAATCGCGATGATAAACAAAATACGACGGCCAAAGCGCGATCCCGGAGGCTGTACATGACGATGCTGACGAAGTTTGACTGCGTGGTAATGGACGACGAAACCTACGTCAAAGCCGACTACAAGCAGCTTCCGGGACATGAGTTTTATACGGCAAAAGGAAGGGGAAAGGTAGCAGATGTTTTCAAGCACATGAAACTGTCAAAGTTCGCAAAGAAATATCTGCAGCATTTTCATAGCTTCCGGGACTGTCAACCAAGAAATTTACGTGAAAGAGTGTTTGAATAAACGTCTGCTGCCTTTCCTGAAGAAACACGGTTGTTCCGTACTGTTTTGGCCGGATTTGGCATCTTGCCATTACGGTAAAAAGGCCATGGAGTGGTACGCCGCCAACAACGTGCAGGTGGTTCCCAAGGACAAGAACCCTCCCAACACACCAGAGCTCCGCCCAATTGAGAAATACTGGGCTATTGTCAAGCAAAACCTAAAGAAGACCAAAAAAACTGCTAAGGGCGAGCAGCAGTTCAAGGCAAACTGGCTTTCTGCGGCGAAGAAGGTGGACAAGGTGGCTGTACAAAATCTGATGGCAGGGGTCAAGCGTAAGGCCCGGCAATTCGGATTTGGAAAAGCGGAAGCCTAACTGAATATTTTTCCTGAATTTTATACTAATTGAACTTGAAAAAGAAATTTAATTTGATTTTTTAAATAAACAATTTCACCGATTTACACGCGTTTTCCCTTGACCAAATGTTGACCGTATCACCCTTTACTCAAATATGTGTAAAAGACACTGAAATTTGAGTAAAAATTTACTCAAACTTTAAGTGACTTACGCTTTAGTAAATTTAAGTAAACGGAACTCAAAGAGGGAAAATGGGGATAAAATGTCCATGAAGGGCAAAATGCACGCCCTTATATCTCAGGTGATCAAATCCACGCCAACTGACGAATCGATTTTATTTTACTCTCTCCTAATTTCATGAAACTTCGCAAAATCGGAGGCGAACCAGCCTCAGGCTAAGACTCCCTAATAAAGAAAACTTAACTTCGCAAAATTGTTCACTAGGGGCAATAAATCAAGTATGTGGTGGAATTCGGCTATTTTGATTAACTCCTAATTTTTCAAAATGACATCTTCGATAATTTTCAATAAATCATTGTACAAAAAAGGCTCATCTAATCGAAATGATGTATAAAAGATGTATAAGTAGAAATTTCGAAGTTCTTTTTTCGCATATAATTTTTTTGTTTTGATGTAGAACTACGTCTGTGATTTATATAGGGGGGTTCACTTTGTGAAAACCGAAAATGGAACATGTAACGAAATTATGAAAGATTTTGAACGTTGATAACTCAGCTGCCCCTGGACCAATTTCAATAATTTTATCACCAATCGATCAGATATATTTCTACGCATCGATAATGACTGTTGATTTTCAACAAAAAAATATATTGAAAAAGTGGTAAATGTCAAGCATTGTCGAAAAGCATCGAAGTAACTAACAAATCCACCAATTACGTACATGAATATGCTGCTTCCTCAACACAGTCATCAGAGAATCGTTTCTAGACGAAACATGTCGATGATGATTAGCAAAATAAACCAGCAAAACGCTAGCAACCAAGCTTCTATTCCTGAAGCAATCGGGCCGAGACTCTTCTGAGTGTCCATTTTTCGTAGCGAAGTTGAGGTGTCCTTCGCTGCGCCTTTCCAACCACAGGGTCAACCCGTGCCCAGCAGTACCCAGGCCGAGACATTTCCAAGTGCATATTCGTCGTTGAGGTATCCTTCACTGCGTCCTTCCAACCCGTCGCAGCCACCTAGTCCGAGTGCCCATTCATCGTAGCAAGGTTGAGGTTTCTCTCGCTGCAGCCTTCCCAGCTGTCGCAGATAGCAGTTGAAATCCTGTACAGCAGCAGACGGGCCGAGACTCTTGCGAGTGCCCAATCAATTGAACCGAAGAATATGGGATTGTCCGGTCCGATTTGCTGATCCAGCTGCCTCCACGTCATAATCATCTTCCAAAGGCTTAAAGCCTGAACGACCATCAGCCCTTTTCAGGGCCACCAAGACTTTCCAAAAGAGTTCAATTTCTGAACATGTCCCAACTAAAGTTCATATCAATAGGTTCTTTTCAGGGCAATCATAGTCATATTAAAGAGTATAAACAAATTCCTATTCCTGCACAAAACACAAGCTCCTGTTGCACTTAACAAATAAATTTATTATATAAGACCATGTAGTCCTACGTCACCATTGCGTACAACCCCATGGGCTGTCCCTTGTAGTTTTTTATATGCAGAAATTATTTTTTAGTCTGGTAAGTTGTTTCCGATGCACACATCACATAACTATTGCGCGATCAAAAGATAAATTGATTATTTGTTAATTTTTTAATTTGTTAGTAAATCAATATATTACTATGTGGATTAAACGTGGATCTTTACGTGCAGTTAACTCTCATCTCCCCTATGAAACAGATTCAACGGTCATGTTTCTCTACTGAATTTTACAGATTCACACCTGCCACCGACAAACCGACATGAAACTTAAACTTAACTTTTGCTAGAAAATCAGTAACGGCCGATTAAAATGTCCAGCGAACCGATCGATGCAAACAATTGTAGCCTTCGCTCCATGTTGTAAATATTAAATTAACCATTAATAAAATTATAATGAAATAGACCTTAAGCGAAACGACACTGGCCGATTTACTATAAAAATAGAATGCCTCGCGAGTAACGCCACTCGACCTTGTGCAATGTCTCCCAAGGCCGACTCCAAAGAAAAGTTGGGAAAAGAGAGAGTTGTGGCTACACCCCATTTTGAACGAAGGGCCAACGATCAGAATAATCTCTCGCATTGCCGATCTAGTTCGAAGAACGTTCGCGGGGAAATCGAACTTCGGTTGAGTTCGGCCGAGGTCACCTTCTCTAATCTGAGGGTCACGGTTTCGCTTCACTTTCGTCAGATCCGCAGATTACAGAGAAAGTGTTTCGTTTTGTTCGCGTGATGGTTTTGTAAAGTGAGTTAAAACAACGGGGTTTTACCAACAATCAATACGAAACTAACGATTTTAAATTGGCTCACCAGTTTAGTAGCCTATTGGTCCCAAGCAAACGATTAACGTACCCTATTCTAGTTGAAATTCTATTACTACACTATGTTTGTTTTGATTCGCTATGAAAGTTTGACAGATAACATCAGGGGTGTGTGGATTCATTCAGAACATGCAGGGGTGAGTGAAATAGCTTGGGACTGCTTGGGACCGTTGTTCTGGTACTGAGTGAGCCAAAAATAATAATGATTTTCTTCGGGACCCAGTGGTCTTAGAGTTACCTCTATGGTTTTACCATAGAGGTAACTCTAAGAACAGAAGGTCCCGAAGAAACGTGCTAAACTTTTTGGCTCAGCTCTGGTACTATCTTCGGTCCCAAGCTAATAGATTCACCCCTCGAAACATAGGAAAATTCACTAACCCCTCATGTTATCTGTCAAACTTTCACAGCGAATCAAAACAAACATTGCGTAGTACTAGAATTTTGACTAGAATGGGATACGTTAATCGTTTGCTTGGGACCAATAGGCTAGTCAAGTAGTGAGCCAATTTAAAATCGTTAGTTTCGTATTGATTGTTGGTTTTACCACAGACAAACAGACATAACACTGGCAATTTGTTCATCGAACACGCATTTAACGGTCAATTTAAATGTTTTTAGTTCACAGTATACTCAACAGATGGCGGTAGTGTTTTAGTGACGATGTTTTATATTGAAAAATTTTCAATGTGTTATGTCTGTTTGTCTGTGGTTTTACTTTTGTACTTAAGTTTTAATTTCTCCTCGTTGATTGTTTAGTTATAGTTTATTGTAAAACTAAACGTAGTGTGCGTCATAGGTTAGATTTGTGTGTATAAAAAACAATCTAGACCAGGTAAAGTGTGCATTGTGTGTTAAAGAAAATCTGTGCTTAATGTTTCTTCCAATAGCCGACGACTACGTCAACTTCCAGCGCTATTATCTGCATCCCCGGGGTGAAAAATCCCGGCAACCGTCACCTTGTCCGGTGGAAAGCGATCCGTATCCACATCGCTTATCGGGGCTTGTGGTTGTCAAGCGCCACCTTTGGTGAGATCACCGTCTGTCCACCGACGTGGAAATCGCTGGCCGTTTAACAACTAGCTAGTTTAAGTTAGTAACAACAGCGCAGCAATTAACATCAGTTAAACCAAAAATCAATACGAAACTAACGATTTCAAATTGCCTCACTACTTGATTAGCCTATTGGTCCTAAGCAAATCGATTAACGTACCCCATTCTAGTCAAAATTCTAGTACCACACAATGTTTGTATTGATTCGCTATGAAAGATTGACAGATAAAATGAGGGGTTCGTGGATTTTCCTATGTTTCGAGGGTTGAATCGATTAGCTTGGGACCGAAGATAGTACCAGAGCTGAGCCAAAAAGTTGAGCTCGTTTCTTCGGGACCTTATGGTCTTAGAGTTACCTCTATGGTTAAACCAACTGGTGAGTCCGTTCCATTGGTTTGTTTTGTTGAGTGTGGCGTCCGACGAGGGTGCCACGGAGGATCTTTTTGCCGACCATATACTTCACTGACGTTTGTGAAAGGCACACTAATACTTATAATTTACCCCAAGTTCTGTACTAATACTTGTACATTTAACAAACGTCAGAGAAGTCTATACCAGCAAACACAAATATGCAAAAGCATGCTTTAATTCGAATAAACCTTAACTTACCCTTGGTTCGTTACTACAATGAATGTTTGATTTGATTTCGTAAAATACTAATATTGATCAGAGCTTGGCGTGTAGCATCGTTTTAGGTTTGTGTGCTCTCTTACCGGGAGCTTTAGAGAAATATTTCGTAGATGTGATGCATTATGCTGCTTCGCAATAGGGGTTTCTACCCGATCAATTTCGGTGGTAGTCAAGCTGGCTCGATCTCTTCTTTTTCTAAGGCAGTCTTATCCGAGCAAACTCAACTTGACATGCGGTCTTCTTTGCCGGAGTGGCACGAGATCGGCCGTTGTCGGCTAAACCATAGCATTTTTTATATCTAGATAAAACTAATTTGCCAAGAGTAGATCAGGCACGAGCCGTGTTCGTGCCTTAGCTAAACGTTTTACGTGAATACAGGGACAGATGCCACTAGTGGTCCTGAGCAGAAATTTCATGGTAACTTTTATGGTCATTGTAACCAGTGGTTCCAAACAGTTACTTGTAGGCTCCTCCACAAGTTTCCTCATCCCAAATGGCCCTCCAGCCAGTGAGCACCTAAGACCAATTTCCAAATCCCATTAAAATACTGGACAGCCTTACTGGTGGCCGAAATTCCTAGCTGTCATTGTGATGCGCAGAGCCAAACTGTCCGTTCAAAAACCACCCGTTACGCGTTTCACCTTTGTCGTTTATTGACAGCGGTTTGAGCCCGGACTCCAACCGGTTTAGTACTAATCGACGTCCTGGTCTAAATGGTTAATAATAGATGATCCATAGTAACCGTAGCTTTTTCTTGCGTTGACCCCTGAAGAGAGTGGAAGCAACAATCAATTCGAAACTAACGATTTTAAATTGGCTCACTACTTGACTAGCCTATTGGTCCCAAGCAAATCGATTAACGTACCCCATTCTAGTTGAAATTCTAGTACTACGCAATGTTTGTTTTGATTCGCTGTGAAAGTTTGACAGATAAAATGAGGGTTTATTGGTTTTTCCTATGTTTCGAGGGGTGAATCGATTAGCTTGGGACCGAAGAGAGTACCAGAGCTGAGCCAAAAAGTTGAGCACGTTATTTCGCGACCTTCTAGTCTTAGAGTAACCTTTATGGTGGAAGTGCGCGTCGGTTATAAAATTAATAAATTAAAGCGTTTTAAGCCCTATGATTGTGAAGTGCTTCTTGTGAGTGTGTAGTAAGCCTCGAATACGTTAAAAGTAGTCTGTGTTTGGTGAACAGTGTTAAAAACGTTCCACAATAGGATTATCGTCCGAACGCTTAAGCCGTCCATACACGGTACGAAAAGTGCGAACCTGTAAGAACAGATCCGTAGCTGGGCCTTTTCTCCCCCCCCCCCCCCTTCGGGATCGAATCCTGAAGGATATTTCTCCACAGAAAGGCCAGAATTGCAGAAGGGATTGACGCCCTTATGCATGCTCACTGTCGATTCGTGGACAACGAGATTATAGTAGAACCCCATGGGATTCTACCGGAATCTCTTAGGGGCGATTCAAATATGACATCCACAAGCTTTTCAATTTTTCTACCCACCCACCTCTCTGCCATGCATTTTCCCATACCAATAAATAATGTAATAAATTCTAGGACCCCTTCCCTCCTAAAAAATGGACGTCATAGTGGAATCGCCTGTGATATTTTATGGTATTTGCTTAAGAGTGAGAGCATGAATGCCTTAAATTTGTAAATACTATCCATGATACCCCCATTAGCCACATTGACAGAACCCCAAGGAGGCAAAGTGCGTGGCGATGCTGTGAACAAGCACGCTTCTCGGCAACGGGACAGGCGTGCTGTGTCACAACATTGCCACCCATTTTACAACCTTGGGGTTCTAACAGTTTTAAACATCATCAAATTATCCGCAACACACTTACCAGTCTGTTGAATATTAACAATCATCCAATCGTGATTCGGAATATCCATATCCTGTAAATCCAACTTATCCTCCGCACGCATCCAGATGTTTGGCTTCGTATTGTTGAAATTACTCTCGCCCAAAGTAGTAAACGTGATCGGAATCCACCACAATGGACCCTCTTCGCTTTTTTTCGATGTATTCTTATTGGGCTCAATGAAGATAAACCGCTCCTGAGCGAATACGATGGTTTTGCTCTCGTAATCGCGTGTTACCGTAACAACGGGAAAACCGGTCAGCAATGTCCATGTGTCCATAATTTCTTTTACGGTAGTTGAATCGTCAAAGACATTTAGGTTCCTAGCTTCCGCAGTCAGGAACGTCCAAAGATCATCCTGATCGGAACTCTGATATTTCCTACATGAAAAAATAAATAAAAATATCAATACCCCTATTACATTACCCACATACGCGATTCAACACACTTCTCATTCAAATATTTCGTGAGACCTCTCCTGAACACCTCACTAGTCAAGAAATGATCCATCATTCTAATAATTGCTGCCCCTTTGCCGTACGAAATTTTGTCGAATATTTCGTTGATCTCTTCCGGATTATGCACCTTCACCGATATTTGATGCGAAGACGACAGCGCATCCAACGAAAATACGTTGTGCAACTCGTTGACCACAAACTGCTCCATGGGTTTCCACGCAGGTTCCACGGCATCTACGCCCAAATACTCCATGTAGCTGGCGAAGCCTTCATTCAACCAGAGATCAGTCCACCAGGTGGGTGTCACAAGATTTCCGAACCACTGATGAGCTATTCAAATGTACCAGATATTAATCAATCTCAAATTGAAAAGATTGTATATTACCCAATTCATGTGCCACAATCGTCGCCACTCTCTGCTTGTTACTGTTGGCAGAAACATTTTCCTCATACAGCATAGCGGTTTCTCGATACGTGATAAGACCCCAGTTCTCCATCGCGCCAGCACTGAAATCCGGCAGTGCTATCATGTCCATCTTTGGAAGTGGATATTTGATATCGAAGAATTGTTCCAAGTATTTCAATATCTTAGGTCCCACGTCCAACGCGTATCGAGCAGAGGAGATTGCATCGGACCGCGTCCAAACGGCATAGTTCCCGGAACTTAGATGAACAAAATCACAAACCACGAATGCCACCAAATACGTGGACATCGGTACCGATTGCTGGTAGATATCCCATACGTAGTCTTCCAGTCCATGTTCGCTGTAAAACGAATAGGGGTAATGAAGCAACAAGTTTACCATAATTGAGGTACCTACGGTGCATTATAGGTTTTCAGCTTTGGCATGTTGGAAAGAGAAACCATGTTCTTAGGACGAGCCAGGCTGATGCTGAAGCGTGCCTTCAGCGCTGGTTCGTCAAAGCACGGAAAAGCTCGGCGGGCATCCGTGGGCTGGAATTGCGTTGTGGCTAGCCATCTGCAAAAAAAGCGATGTATATGAACGTATTTTCGAAAAATTTATAGGAAGAACACCCAAGTAATTACTTCTGAAGTTTAAATACTCTAGAGTAGAACGAGTACATACAGAGTTTAGATTACCGAAGTCGGTAAATTTTTACAGGGTTTTTTTAAACAGCTGAGTTTTCAGCAATCAACCCAGTAGTTTTGCTTTTGCTGAAAACTCCGTAAATCGCAGAATCTCTAAACAGTCAAAAATTACCGTGTTAGTCAGCACTAGTATTGTTGTATTTTTCAGTAATTTATTTGTTTACATAGTTTTTTGCTGAGTTTTTCAGCATTTTATAAATTTTTTTATGAATAAATCAGTAAATTCATCAACAATGTTCACTGAGTAAAAGTGACTCTCTGTATGACACTGCTTGTTGCAAGTTACCCCGAGGATGGGGAAACTTGTAGCAAACATGTTTTTGATTTCTCCTAGAACGAATATTCATCGTATATTTGTTTTATAATTACGTGAAGCTGTTTTATCCTAGACCTAATAACTTGCTGTGGAATACAATTAATAAAATTTTGAAGCAATAATTTATTTTTATTATGCTGATGCAAATATTATATTATTTTGTCCGTCATCATTCAAATAGGTCGAAGAGAGGGGAGGCGGGCAAACTTTAAATAACAAGGGGCGAAAAAAATATTTCTAAACATCCCATTCAACAATAAATGAATAAATTAATAATATAAAAATAATGTGCATAGTTTTAGGATCAAGTGCAGCGAAAGTGACTATTTTGAACAGTGCTGAACACTCTTGGGCTATATATACGTGACTTGTCCGGAGATGAGATTTGAACTCATAACACTTTGGCGTGAGAGATATGGATGTTAACCACTACGCCGGATCCGTCCACTGAAACACATGTTGTTACACGCCTTCAATTTTGAAAATTGTTGTTAGTTGCCCCGTATCTGTCAAGGATAAGCAATTAAGGAAGTGAGATTAAAATGTAATTACTTATCCTTCTCTCTTTATTTGTAGTATTTCAAAACGGACACCATTGTTCAACACGGTGATTTTGAACAGGATTTTAACAAATGTTACCGTTTGTAACATCTGTTGTTGTATTTATGTAAGTTTTTCGAATTTTGCACACACTAATCCAGGCCTCCATCGTTCGGTAAATTTTGAACTACGGTAAAAGTTTAAAAATCAGTGAAAAATCCAATTATTAGAAAATTTATTCGGAACTTGTACAGAATTTGTTCGGTTTACCCCATCTATTAATGAAAAATAAAAGTTATAAATTTTCTTGATTTCTCACGTGCAACGGTCGTTTGAAAATTTTACCGACTTGTTCTGCTGTTCAAAAACCCGGTAAATTCCTACCGACTGCTGAATTAAGTGTGCATGTCTCCGTTTTAATTCTAATTATAATTGCTATAAAGGTGCCTCTAGTTTTAGTACACTATACAATACCACAGTACAGCAGATGATAGCTGGAATAAGTGATGAGCCAACCAGTGTTGGGAAAATATCAAAAAATCAAATCTCATCAACGCCCAAGATCACGCTTGATTTTCGTAGACAAAAATCAACAAGCAAACAACTGCGGTTGATTTTGCAAGCCGTGATATCGTAGCTGGAATATCAAGTTAACAAAACTCACCAACTGCAAATCTCACCAAACTGTGGTGAGGTTGCGTTTAATGATTTTTTATTTACACTGCTACCGAAACTTCCATAACGGCTTGCAGCAGTCCCTTCGCGTCTGCTATCGGTAAAGATTAAAAAGAGATAGCAAACTATGCTTTCTCTTTCTAAGAAAACGATGTGCAATGGAATCATTGTTGTGTCGAGTCAACTCTCAGCTTGATGTTTGCACGTTGTGAATAGTCTCACAATATCAAAGGAGCTTGTAAAATCAATATCAAGCATGATATTTTGTTCCAATATCCCGCGTGATATTGCGAGCCCATGAGAGCGGAAAAATGTCAAATGATTTCTGGAGCCAACAATTTGAGTTCAGTGGAAAATAGGAGAATGGGTACGAGAAGTACAGAGAAAGGGATCGGTGAGTAGCACGGAAACATCTTCCGCCACTTGCCAAGTAAACTTTAACGAGAGCAGTTGGATAAGTTGAAAACCGTTAAAAGTAAAGTGAAGTAAAGTAAGAGTGTCGTAGTAGCAGGAGTGGAGAGAGAGAGAGTCAGGTATGGAACAGGGATTGAAGTAGCCACCATTCAAAAAAGGGCCTAAGACCGTCTCTTTTGTGCCCTTTTGGACCCGTTAGTTGTAAAGGTAGCTTTTGGTGGAGAACTGGCCTCTCGACGGTACCGAGGTTGGACTCGCTTTGGAGTAATTGTTTAATTATCCCGCGTGGTTGCGCTATACCGGTCGTAGTTTCCCGACCAAGCGGTAGGAAGCTGGAAGATTAGGATTTGAGTTCCACCGCAAATTGTACCGAACAGGTCTCCACACACCCGTAAAATCCAAGGCTGCCATATCCAGGCGTGGAACCAAAACTCTCAGTGGAGCCAACATTTGTTCGCCAGAGTCCGCCATTGTGCTTACCGACTGGCGTCGCCAGACGCTTTCACCGAGTCTCCATAAGCCTCACTGTTTCCCGCCATCAAGCTAGCCACCGTCATCGACCCTACCACCACCAGATAATTAAATATAAACATTTTAACCAAGTTTGCAAACAAAATCGAGCTGGTTACAATTACAGATATAAATTTCTGTTAAATATGCTATAGGCATCAACCAAAAACATTCACAGGTGTAACCAGTTATCAAGAGTCCAAGTATAATCCTCGACAATACTTTCATTTACACGTTTAAGCTTCTGCAGTGCCAGGACTATATCCAGGGAAACGACTTCCAGCCATTGTAGACTATTTTTCTATTGCTACTACAAAATCGAAAAACTAAAAATTCATCATCGCTATCGTGGGGAACAATGTAGTTTTTTGAATATGCTACACAAGTTAGTAAAATGTCTTAAAAATATAATTGATCAATAGACAGCTTTTACATGTGAAATGCAGCGTCTCTTAAATTCTGTAAGTGTTGTTGCACTCCTAATGTATGTAGGCAACATTTATACCTTTGAAAAATTATGAATTTTGTGAAGCATTATTCAACAGATGTGGTATTCTTACTTCATCCGCGTTTATAGTGTTATATATATGAAAATCACTTCCTCTTTCAATCCGATCACACAACTAACGAGGCAGCAAACCGTTAACTACTTTATAAATGAAAACCATATTTTTTTTTTCTTTGGTTTGTTTTTTTCCGTCGATCTTGTTTTCCGTGCTGAGCACCAATGCTACCGACTTGCCAGGAAGGCAGCTCCCACACCTGGACCCTATTTATCGACCCATCAACTTATGAACCGGGGACCAACGGCTTTACTTCCCATCCGAAGGAAGGCGTGATCAGAGATGTTATGCCTCAGAACATCCCGGCGGCGCCGACTGGGATTGAACCCAGGCCTGCTGGGGTGAGAGGTAATCACGCTTACCACTACACCACCGGCGCTGTTGAAATGAACACCATAGTCAAATACTCAATTCTTTGCCATTGCCAATTGCAAAGCGCCCAGCATAAAAGTTGAGGAAATGAATAAAGGGTGGAACGGTCAAAAATTGGTCGGCTCAAATTAAACGAATTTTTTAAATGTGCGTTTTTGACGTAGGACTACGTCTGTGATTTCTATATATGAGAGTAAACTTTGTGAAACCCGAAAATGGAATATGTAACAAAATTATGAAAGATTTTGAACGTTACTCAGCTGCCTTTGGACAAATTTCAATAATTTTATCGCCAATCAATCAGATATATTTCTACGCATCTGCTAGATTTAAGATTTAATTATTTTTAAAAATGTCACTGTTGAAAATTGCACGAATGCGCAACTGTTGCTTTGATAATTAAAATTATCATCGATTACCTGCGAAAACCGATTTTCCTAACACAGATTTAAATTCCATCTGGTCTCACCAAACGGTGTTTACTCAATCACCGCGTGGTGAGTGGTGATATGCTCCAGCACACAACGAAAGGCTCCCCGCAAGCAGCTAGCTACCAAGGCTGGCCTCAACCCCTAATAGGATTCAGTTCCAATCACCGTGTGTGGTGGTGTGCGGTCGTCGGCATCAGCTGCAACAGTGCTTCGGCACGTGGCGTTGAACATTGTTCTCCAGTACACAACGAAAGGCTTCCTGCAAGCAGTGAGCTGCAGCCCACATGAGCCGAGACATGAACATCCATAGAAGGAGGAAGAAACCGCACCGCTATTTGATCGGAATAAGTAGTTTTTCGAGTGTCGCTGTTGGCCGTACGCCAATCGATAGGAATGTTTTCTACGAATCCTCTAAAATTAAGACCTTATAATTTTCCAAAATGTCACTATTGTAAATTGCACGGATGTGCAACAGTTGCAATGATAATTAAAATTATCACCGATTGTCTGCGAAAAGCGATTTCCCTAACACAGATTTCAAAGTTGAATTCCATCCAGTCTCACTAAACGCTGTTTACTCAATCATCGCGTGGTGAGTGGTGGTGTTCTCCAGTTCTCAACGAAAGGCTGCACATGAGCATCCATTGAAGGAGGCTGAAGCTGCAGCGCTATTGATCGGAATCAGTAGCTTTTCGAAAGTTGCAGGGCTGTTACAACAGGCGTGGATTTCACAGATTTCGCGGATTTGTCGTGGATTTGTTTGTTTGTCAGTCGATTTGTTCTACTATATCAACCATACTGTAGTATCGAAATATTCCCAAACAGATTCAAAGTGTCTATGTGGATTGTACCCGACCTATTGCTACGTATACAAGATGTTATAGGTTCTGAAATCATTCTGGAGATCAGATCATTTTGCTATTAGATCACCCTAGACTAATTCAATATCTGTAGTATCGAAATATGTCCAAACAAATTTGCAGTGTCTATGTGGATCATTCCAAGCTATTTACGTGAATGCCAAATGTTCTAGGATTTCCAAATCGATATTTCAATACTACAGATATTATCCTAGCCTTTGTTGATCTAGTAAAACAAATCATCTGAACTGCAAGACGATTTGGAGAGCCTTGAGCATCTGGTGTACGTGGAAATAATTAAACATTATCCATATAGACACTATGAATCTGTTTGGACATATTTCGATACTACAGACGTTATCGCAGTCATGGTTAGAATAAATCACCTGAACTCCAGAACGATTTGGAGAACTTAAAACATCTAGTTTACAAGACAATAGTTCATGCATGATCCACATAGACACTGTGTATCTGTCTGGAAATATATCGATACTAAAGACATTGTCCCAATCTCGGTTGATCTAGTAGATCAAATTATCTGAACTCCAGGACGATTTGAAGAACCTACAACATTTGGATTACTCGGAAATAGATCGCGCATGATCCACATAGACACTTTAAATCTGATTGGACATTTTCCGATACTACAGACATTTTTGCAGGCTTGGTTGATCTAACAGAACAAATCAACTGATGTCCTGGACGATTTGGAAAACCTGTAATTTTTGGTATACATCGTGATAAGTCGTGCATGATCCACAAAATCACATATATACGATTCGGTTATGATTTGACAACGAAAAGTGCTAGGTTCATATTAGAAAAAAAAAATGAAAATGTCTCACCATTGGACAGACCCCATGAAATATTTGTGTAAATACAGAACCGCCACGTGACCAACAAGTGTGACTTATGAAACTCTGGTAATTTCTCGATTATGTGGTTGAGAAAACTAGACCCAAATTAACTTCAATATTTAGGACAGCAAAATACGGCAGAGACGCAAAGGTTAATTTTCAAGAAAATTTGCATTTCAAATGAAAATGCATGTATTTTTTTTTAAATAGTATTTCATAAAATCTAGGCTGGTATATTGCTCAATAGAATCTCATAATCTGAGGGTGTTTTATTATGTTCACTAATTACTCAGAATTTATACTATACCTAAATAACTGACGATAATACAATGTTATTTAAAAAAAAAAAAACAAATTTTACAAACGATACTCCTTTAGCTCAGTCGGTAAAGGCTCAGCTACAAAGCAAGTCCATGCTGGAGGCGAATGAGTTCGATTCCCGTCCGGTCTATTAATTTTTCGGGTTGGAAAATTTCTCTATCTTCTTGGGCATAGGATAGTACAGGTATAGAAAGTTCTGAATTAAAATGTGGAAGTACTTTAATGAACACTAAGTTGAGAGCAGGCAAAAATCTAATGTGCTATAAGCAATATTTAAGTCTGAAATGCCATGTAGTATAGTATAAAAATACTATGTTTAGGCAATGAAAACATTTTGTTGTTGTCTCGTATTAGTATTTGAAGGCACGGATTCCTTTTGAGAAGTCACGGATTTTGCGGATCTAATTTAAAAAAAATCTTGTGACGGCAGAGGAATTGCTGTGGGCCATCCATGTCAAGCGCGTCATACTAAAGAGTATAAGTAGAGAGAACTCCGCTCAAATTCCTATGCCCATACAAAACACAAGCCTCTGCTGCAGTTAACGAATAACATTTATTATATAAGACCACGTAGTCCTGCGTCACCATTACGTACAACCCCATAGGGCTGTCCCTTGTAGTTTTTTAAATCGTGCACCCTACATTTTGTAGGTTTGTGCGTCAAAATGGCGTCGAAGCAAGAGGAACAGCGTATCAAAATTTTGCTTTTTAAGCGAAATTCAAATTATTCTCACGCAGATTTATTGAGTCAGAAATTTGATTGCGTTATAAGTTCAAGCAGAAAAAATTGTCAAATTTTCCGAAAAATACTTGGTTTGGCAGCTTATTTGCACCTGTGGACTCAAAAGCGGTGGCGCTGAAATATAAGCGGAATCCTAACCTCTCCATCTGGGATGTCGCTGGCAAGCTCAATGTCTACCATACTACTGTGCAGCGGGCCAAGAAGGTGAAGGTGACGAACCAAGATTACAAATAAAACCCGTCGGCAAAGCAGCGGTTCCGAAAGCTGTAAACGAATCTGCTCACAAAGTTCGACTGTGTCGTCATGGACGACGAAACTTATGTGAAGGCGGATTTCAAGCAGCTTCCCCTGTTTTATACCACATCAGAAAAAGGGAAGGTGGCTGAAATTTTCAAAACCAACAAACTATCGAAGTTCCCGAAAAAATATCTCGTCTGGCAGGCCATATGCACGTGTGGTCTAAAAAGTGGCATTTTCATTACTACGGGAACCATCAATCAAGAGATCTACGTCCAGGAGTGCCTGGAAAAGCGGCTGCTACCATACCTTAAGCAGACCTGTGCTGTTCTGGCCGGACTTGGCGAGCTGCCACCATAAGAAAAAGTAATCGAGTGGTACGATGCGAACAACGTGGTTGTGGTACCCAAAAACTACACCCTCCCAACAGCCCAGAACTCTGCCCTATCGAACGGTATTTGGCCTTGGTCAAACGGAAACTCAAAAAAAAAAACTAATAAATCCATGGGAAACGAGCAGCAGTTTAAATCTAACTGACGTTCGGCGGCAAATAAGGTCGATGAGACCACTGTGCAAAATTTAATGGAAGGGGTTAAACGGTAGGCACGGATTTGGCAAACCAAAAAAAAAAATAAACAAACATTTTTTCCTTTAAATATATACCAAAAGCAAAATAAGAATATTTTTGTGATATGAATTTTGACTGAAAGTAACGATTTTTTTGTTGACCAATTTTTGTTCGTTCCAGTCTATATATAAAGAAGAAGAGAAGATAGTTTTCCGACTTTTCCAATTTTCCATTAACATTTTCAAATTTTCTTGTCGTAAAAATGTTCCATGGGCGGTGATGAACAAAACAAACAAAAAATCAGCTCAATCTTCATTCCTTTATTTAACGTCGGTCTCTGTTCCGCAATCTAGTGCCAGTGACCGACGAACATCGATTTACATCCTTTGACGGCAATTGAATGTGCAGGAAAGCAGCTTCCGCACCTGCCAACACAAATGGGCCGGGACCAACGGCTTTACTTTTCTTCCGAAGGAAGACGTGAACAGAGATTTTTATGCCACTCAGTGTTATACACACTTAGAAAAATTCATGTTAATTTAGGTTTTCTGAGCTGACATATACGAGCGTCAATTTTGACATAAAATTGAGTCATATTAGACGCGAAATTAAGCTCAATCAAACGTACTAATCGTCGAGTACCGAACTTTTCAGTCTCGGAGCACTTAATTTTACATGACATGGTTGTTTACGTCTCACCCTTCAAGAAAGATGGATTACATAACGTGTAAAATTAGGTATTTCTAAGTGTGTGTATAGATGGATTTCTGTTTAAAATTTCACAAAAAAAATATTCAACAATTTGTTCTAAAATTGCTATTGAATGATTTAAAAAAAAAGAATTAAGTGTCCATCTTGAAAATTTTACAGTAGATGTGAGTTTTTAAAGCTTTTCAAACATTAAAAAAAAATATTGTCGAGTGTGATATTTTGTTCATTTAAGTTTTTTTTACCCAAATTTACATTTTACGGTTGCGGCAATCCCAATCATATTTATCGTTTACCTATTCAAATACGACATTAGTTATGAATCGACAAAATCCAAAAGATTTTTTTAATGACCACCATATCTGTAACTTTCATCAAAGGCTACTTTGGTGCTAACGTTTCAATGGTTAATATTTTTGTTTTCTAATCTGGACGAATTTTCATATCTGTACCACTGTGCATTGTATGTTTATTGAATGGAACAGTAAATAGTAATGCACGATAAACTAAATTAAATAGGGTTACGGTATGTAATGTGGGTCTAGTCCTTTCATTCGGCCTATCACGCAAATAAATAATTAATTAAGGAATATTACACAAAAAATAAGGAAAATATTGATCACTGATGGTTGATAAATGTGTACCACACACAAATCAATTTATATCACAACATTTCAATACATTTTCAGCTCTCGTAAGTAATAAAACTGGTTGAGAATATCACAATGTTCGGAGTTTTTAGCCGCCATGACTTATAAGGTTAAGATGGGAAGGTTGACTGACGATCATCAAATGGCCTGATTATGGCATTTATTGATTGGAATTACCTGATAATACACACTAGACGTAAAACTTACAGTTGCTGTTTGAATATTTTATGTTTATTTTAATTGTTTAACAACGTTTTCACAAGTAAAACATGGACCCAACTTTAGGGACACATTTCTTTTCTATGTTCCTAACTTTGGCCCATGAAATTCATTTGACAGCATATAGCAATAAGAGTAACGTCAACAATGTGGTTTGCATTTGGATGATAAGGAACGAACAGGAAGGGAGATTTTTTCTGCCAAATCTGTATAATGAAGATCACAATGTTTTGATTTAGATATTCTGCGGTCGAAAGACGATAAGCGAAATTTTTAATTTTTAATTTTTAACTTGAGTGATTTAATGTAGTTTTCGTAAAATTTTCTCTAAGAAATGTTTTGAGGAATGAAGAGCATTAAGTTAACAGTGATAGTGATAAAAAAAAATACATCAGAAAACGTTACCAAGAGCGTTTTTTTGAGGATCAAACAAGATAGGACGAAGTTGCATCCATAAATAGACCCAATTTGGGGACAATAGACCCATATTACATACATTTCCCTCGTGAGTTATTGTCTTAAAAAAAGTAAGTTTTTCAACTTTTCGTGGTTTCTGATAGCAAACGACATGATAAGCATATCTAAGCATACCATTTAGCAGTAGAATATCGTTTGCAGGTAAATTCATTGATGAGTTATGATTAAAAACGTAATCGATGGCTGCATATTAGACCGAGGTTAGGGACGTATACCCTATATGACCAATTAGCGTTCAATAGAAGACAGGTAAATTTACTACATCGTAGATGTATTGCCATAATCGGGCCTACGTTGTCCTATTCTGTTAATTGTATGCCTATTACCAAAACAAAAAAAAATATAAACAAACCAGTTGCTCACCTTGTTTCATTCCGCACAACATACGAGCTACGGTAGAATCCTTGCAGATAATCGTTGAGCACCCCAACGTAATTAATCCTCACCACGTATCTTTCACCAGCGCGCAATTTCCGCTTGAACATAAGCACATAAAATTGTTTGCTCTCCACAACAAACTGTCGGTCTATTTCGATTCGCCTTGAATCACCGGCATCATCATCAGCAGCATCCCCAACATTGTCCACTTCGTTTTGCTCTCGATTATCACCACTGTCGCCTGTTGCATCGCTTGTGGTGCGAACGTGCCGCGCGTTGCGACCTCCATTATCGCCATCGTCGTCTTCTAAACTAGCGCCAGGCTCATGCCGTCGAACATGTGCCTCGTGGATTTGCAGGGCCACCGCGTGCAGTGTTATGTTATCACAGTCTTCCTTCACCCGTATCACGATGTCAACCGTACCGGTGAATGTAAAATTATCTTCAAATATGAACGGTATTAGTCGAATGTTGTACGCAATCGGTTCGATCGATCTTGGCAACCGTACATCGTCTTCTTGGGCTGTTTTTGGCTGGCCATCAGACGAGCTGGTAGATTGATGGCTGATTTCGGTGACACTTGTGGTCGTAGTGCTAGAAGACGTGCTCGTCGTCGACGGTGCCGTGCTAGCGTCTAGTGGTGTTGTGTCGGGATGTAACCGGGAGAGGTTGGACGTAAAGTGGTAACGATGATCGCATATGCTGGCGTGCACTGGTATTTCCTGGCAACCGGCAAAGTGATATATGAGCAGTCCTGTGCCCACCAGCAGGCAACTGAATATGGCTACTGTCGTCAAAAGTGTCATCCGAGTGATGAAGTAACCCCGATTTTCAGTGTACGTCCTGGTGTTTCCGTCCATCGTTAAGTTCTCCCGTATTTGCATCTTACTGTTGTTCATCTTGAGCCAATTTGGATGGGGTTGTGATGAGATGCGGTAGCGTTGAATAGTGTCAATTCATCCGAATAATCTGTGGACGGAGAGAAAGCAGATAAAGAAACATGAAAGCGTCGTTTATTCATCCACTAATTTATTTTGATTAAGATGGGACCTAATAAATTGATTTAAAGGAGTGTTGTGAGTACAAATCCTCATGAAGACTTATGGTTGTTTTAGTGTAGCATAACGTTTTGCGTAGTTGATAAATATTGACGAACAAGAGCTTCTTTTATCTTTGCTGATATGTTGTTTTATTTGAGGTTGCTATTTCGATTGAAGTTTCCGCTTGGTGGATAAGAATTATATGGTTAACTTACAGGGAGTGTTTGGAAAGAATATTAGAAACTCAGAAAGCATAAAATTTTATAAGCAACCGATAAATTCAGCGTGCTTTTATAGTTGCAGTAGTGTAAATCCAGGGCAAAACATTGAGAAAAAAAATGGAATTTCTGATCCGACTCTCTGTATGAAGCTTTGAATAAACTCTCACTGTGGGAAATCATTTAATGGAATGCAGCCATTTCACCCCTGGCCCCTTTTTACAAAATGACGAATTTGATTTTTTGCAATACAGTCAACTCTCCATAACTTGATATTGAAGGGACCATCGAGTTATAGAATTATCGACTCATAGAATAAACAAATTATTTTTTATCGTCTATAATTTCAAGAATAATACCGGTATACTTCATCTACTAGAATATCTGGCCTTATTTACGCATATGAATTCGACAAATGGTTCAAGGATCCATTTAAGGAAGTTCCGAGTAGTTAATTTATAATATTAGTGAAGAGCTTTGAGTGTGTTGGTTTATTTCCTTTAAATTCCGTTATAACTGCTTATCTTTTGACAGATACGCGTATTTCGACTTCATCAGTGCCAAGTACTCAACACCATTCCACACCCAGGCCAATATACACAAAACACGCAATAAGGTTGCCAGCTATTGACATTTAATTTGCGATTTTACAAAGGTTCTGGTCATTTTCGAAGGTGGGACTATTGTCAAGAGGGCGTCCGGCCATTAGGCCGAATGGTCATTAGCCCAGACTTAAAAAATGTTAGACGAGCTTCATTACACAGTTATGTTTTTTAAGATTTTAAACATTTAGATATTTGTTCTTAGTATTTAGACGTTTCAGAATCTTGGGAATTTGTCCATATCCAGAACATTTTTAAATAAAACTAACGATTTTTCTTAATCCAGGATCATAAAATTTTTTAAACAAAAAATCTAAAAAAAAAACTTATCAATTTTTCCAAATCTTGATTCTTTTCCTTTTTGTATCTCGAAAATAGATTCTATCATCCCTTGGAAATCTTTACAGGATTTGTTCAGTATTTTGTGTAGAATTTGCTTGAATCATCTCAGAATACCCTCAGAGTTCATCTTAGACCTTTTTCTGGTATTTTATAATTTTCTCCATAATACTCTTGAAAATTATCTGCAGAATTCGTTAAAGTCAATCTGCAATGCCAGCGGCGTGATTACCTCTCACGCCAGCAGGCCTGGTATCAATCCCAGTCGACGCCGCCGGGACGTCTGAGGCATAACATCTCTGATCACGCCTTACTTTGGAAGGGAAGTAAAGCCGTTGGTCCCCGGTTCATGAGTTGATGGGTCAATAGGTAGCGTCCAGGTGTGGGAGCTGCCTCCCTGGCGTCGGTAGCATATGTGCTCAGCACAGAAAACAAGATCGACGGAAAACAAACTCAAGGAAAAAAATCTGAAATTCTTTTTAATATTATAATTTATTTATGCAGTATGACGAACAATCAATACGAAACTATCGATTTGAAATTGGCACACTACTTGACTAGCCTATTGGTCCCAAGCAAATCGACTAACGTACCCCATTCTAGTATAAATTCCAGTACTACACTATGTTTGTTTTGATTCGCTATGAAAGTTTGACAGATAAAATGAGGGGTTAGTGGATTTTCCTATGTTTCGAGGGGTGCATCGATTAGCTTGGGACCGAAGATAGTACCAGAGCTGAGTCAAAAAGTAGAGCTCGTTTCTTCGTGACCTACTAGTCTTAGAGTTACCTCTATGGTATGACCTAGGAATTGCCAGGAGATTTTTTACGGAAAATTCGCTTGGCGTTCTGCGCAGCATTAACTTTGTATTATACAGAAATTCCTATGAGACTTTTCTATGAATTCCTTTAAAGTTTTGATCAGGACTCCCATAAATTATTTGAAATGCTCCTCACAAATCCCTTGGAACTCTCCTTTGAATTCTTTAAAAATTATCACCGGAACATGATTACAATTCTCTTGAAATGTTCCTTGAAATATATTTGGAATCATCCTCCAAATTCAATTCCCACTGAATTTTCATCGGAATTACCTTGAATACTTCTCAGTAAGAAGTAGATTGGAATTATTATCAGATTATCCAATAAATTCATTTCAGAATGTCCTTTGAATTTTATTCCTTCCCTTGGAATTCTACTCACTTTGAAAGTTTCCTCAGAATTCACTTACAGTGAAGTAATAAATTCCATAGATTTCTCATCAACATTATTTGGCATTCAACTCTCATGGAATTATTTCCCAAATTTCTATGTTTTCTGCAAATACTCCCATGGAATTTTGCTTCGGATTCTTTTTCTCCCTGATACTTATTGGCATTGTCCTCAGAATAGCCCTGGAATTTTTTTTTTAATTTCCATGAATTAACTTCAGCAATTCGTATGAATTACCATTAAAATGTCTTTCAAATCCTATTCAAATCCTACAACCGGTAGAAACTAACGATTTTAAATTGGCTCACTACTTGACTAGCCTATTGGTCTCAAGCAAATCGATTAACGTACCCCATTCTAGTAAACATTCTAGTACTACACAATGTTTGTTTTGATTCGCTATGAATGTTTGACAGATAAAATGAGGGGTTCTTGGATTTTCCTATGTTTCGGAGGGTACATCGATTAGCTTGGGACCGAAGAGAGTACCGTTTTTTGCGTAATGAGCCAAAAAGTTGAGCACGTTTCTTGAGTTCCTCAGGACTACCTTGATAGCAAATTGTACTTGATCTTTTCTTCACTGTTCTTCAAGGAATCCTGAGCAGGAACGAATATCTCGATACCTTAAATTGGTATTGATGACCTGATCAAAAAATAATGCCAAAAAAATGTTCCCACAATACCATCCTAATACCAAATTATGCAAATGCAATACCAAAACAATACCCCACAGGTATTCTTTTGCTATCCTAATAAAAATTTTTGTTATTTACAAAGTATTTTGCATGTAAATTTTTGTTATTATAGTCAGGCTGATAATGTATTATAATTATTCCCTGACTTTTGACGAAATTCCCTGAGAATGCCAGGTTTCTCCAGGAAAAGTAAAATTCCCTGAGGATCCCTTGATCCCTAAAGTAGGCTGGTTGGTTGTCTGTCTTTATTAAGGAGATTTTCGGCCAAAGATTTCTAAAGTAGCTTGTCTTCTTCTTCTTCTTATTCTTCTTTTCTTCTTCTTATTTGTATTATTATTATTCTTCTTCTTTTTCTTTCTGATATGAGACGGAATTGTTTAATATTTGAGTCCAAAATGGTATAGCCTTATTTATCCATATTTCATTCCCTTTTCCAATCCAGAAAATTTTCTTCGCAAATGCTAAGATTTTTTTTTTGGAATTCAGCCTAATGACCATTCGGCTTAATGACCGTTCGGCATAATAACCATTTGGCATGGCCTTATAACTTCGTCCTGAGCATTCAATATAACCTGTTTGATGTACCTCATGATAGGTCCTGGTATAAATTAAAGGTACGGACCATTTCACCGAAACACCAGGAACATGTTCTGATGTGGTCGATGGGTCTTGAGTACTCACCAACTATCGTGTTTTTAAATTTCCTTTGATTTTAACATCAACATCACATAATTCAGGAGCTCTACCTTTGACATATCGAGTTATAGAATCAAAATAACATTACATAGATCATCGAACAAAGGAGACATCGTCTTGTAGAAATATCGACTTCTGGAGAGTACGATACATGGGAAAATGAAGGGAACGCAGAATCTATCGAGTTATAGAAAATATCGAGATGTGGAGAGTTGACTGTAATTCATAACATGAAACCTCATCTATTCGAAATGTTAGCCATCTATTCGAAAAATTACATACTATCTGTGTAATACATACCGTAAAACGGGGTAAAGTTGAGACCGGTACCGCTGGTAGATCACCTTTTCTTGGTGCATTACTGGTATAAGATCTTCCTCATACAAACTAGAGGAACAGGATTTTTCAGTAATCAAAGACATAAATTTTAGTCCTACTTAATTTTTAAGCTTTGTTAATAGTGACAATACTCGGAGAAGTTGTCACAATGCCTGTTAATTTGTGAAGTTAATCTAAATGTAATTCAAAATTAAAATGAAAATTTCTTGAAAAATTGGTTACTTTTGGATAAGCTTCACTGGGTAAATTGCTCAGCGCTTATCTACTATAGTGCAAGGTAAAAGTGTTTGTTGATGATATTTTTTAATGAACTCGGCCGCAAATTGCGTATCAAATGGACTTCCCAACTAACATTTTCAGCATTGTGCTATAAAGTAGCTGAAAACAGCTGCACAACTACAAGCAGAAGCTAGCAAAATAGTTTTGGCGAGCGTTTACTCAACTTTTTCACAACCATTATTCAATTTGTCAGTCGCACTGAATAACAGCAGCCAATAAACGCTAATGTCACTTTTATGCAACTATTAATCAACATTCAGTTTGTAGCTGCAAAACAAAGTTAATAAAGAGAATATATTACTCATTAGATGGCTCTTGCTGAATAACATAAACATCAAAAGTGATTTTTCAACAACAACACAACCTGTACTGCCCATAAAAGCATAACTGTCCCATATGAATAGGAAATCAAGCAAAGATGGAACAATTATGCTAGTATCGGCAATGTACTCAGCTAATAAACTGTGTTAGCGCTACTTTGGAAGCATTTTTAAAATCACCTAGGTTTATTTTTAGACCTGTGCAGTTTTACAGCGTTTACCCCGCTCCT